ACACATCACTGCAGGATTCCCCAGCCCAGGGATGAATGTCTTGGCTCAGGAGACCTGGAGCCAAATGTGCTGTAATGGCACAGGTCTCCTGTCTCCTGTGGCTCCAGGTCTCCTGTGCTGCAAATACACAGTGTGAAGCATTTGGGGCAAAGAAATGCAATTTTCCTGGTGTTGAGATGGACTAAGAGCAGCCCTGTGGCCATCACCACCCCTGAAGGGCTGTAAGGGCTTTGCACACTCTGCACCGTTGCCTCTCCAGACCCCAAGACTGATGGAAGAGCTCATCCTAATGTGTCACTCCTTGTCTGTGCCCTGGTTCAGAGGGGTGTAGGGTGGTCTCAGGTGAGGAACGCTAACCCAGCTGTGTGTTCAAGCTCTAGGGGTCAATATGGAGTGTAAGATGGGACAGGAGGAGATGGCAGCAGGCTTGGGGTCCCTGCTGAGCCCATCCAGAGCCTGAGCTTGGTGCTGGGCTCAGGTCACACAGACCTTCTCCTGATTTTTAGGTTTTCATAGACTCACAGACTGGTTTAGGCCAGAAGGAACCTCATAGACTATCCAATTCCACCCCCTGCCATAGGCAGGAACACCTTCCACTAGCCCAGGTAGTTCCAAGCCCTGTCCAGCCTAACCTGGAACACTCCCAGGGATGGAGCAGCCACAGCTGCTCTGGGCAACCTGTGCCAGTGCCTCAGCACCCTCACAGGGAGGAATTTTTTCCTTATATCTAATCTAAATCTCCTCTTTTAAACTGTTTAAACTAGTTTAAAACTATTCCCCCTTGCCCTATCACTATCTGCCTGTGTAAGAATTCATTCTCCCTCTCTTTTCTAAGCTCCCTTAAGGTACTGAAGTACCAACTCCTGTCCCAGCTCTGATGACAGATGCCACGTTGGCTCCAAAGCCTTCCTGGAGCACAGCAAGCTGGAGCAGGAGGTGAGCTGTGGTATCTGCAGTGTTTCCCTGCCCATGTGCTGGCACTCAGCCCCGGCACAGATCCGGCTGCAGCTGCCACACAGCCCTCCCCATCCTGCTCCACACGCCTTAAATGTCAAGGCTTCCAGCAGCCTCTGCAGCACAGCAGTTTCCTGGCCTTTCCCAATATCCCAGGAATGCAAACACAGCGGAGCTCTCCCTCAGAGCAGCACAAACTGCAGGGGCAGAGGCAGCTCTGCCTCAGCACCGTGACTAAATATGGTGCTTCTCCTCTGGGACTGTGGAGAAACTCCTGTGAGCTGCTGCTGGAGAAGGAGTGGGAAGGGAACCATCTCCTGCCATCTAAGGAGGATCTGACAGGGTCCTGCTGGCTATGGGCTCCCACCACAGCAGGAGCTGGGGATGGAGAATGCAGCCCTGCTGGGAAAGAGCATGACTTGGTTAACTGGTCCCAAAGCTGCCAAGCTGTCTCTGCATTACCCTGGAACAACACTGCATCCAGGCAGACCCTCAGGAGGGGAATTTGGGCACTTTTACTGGCACACTCAAAGGGCTTTGCCATGAGCAAATTCACTCCCAGGGTGGGAGTGAATGATCTCACTGGCATCTCTCTCCCACCGTGCTGGGTGGATTTGGAGCTCCAGCCTAAGCCTTCACAGTCCTCATCTGTCCACTCCCGCCGTGCTGGGTGGATTTGGAGCTCCAACCTAAGCCTTCACAGTCCTCATCTGTCCTCTCACAGAGCTTTGAGAGGCAGCAGAAAAATTCTTTGCCCAGCTCCAGGGTTTCTGCATTGCAGAGATTCCAGTGCTGCGACTCATGGAGTTAAGGACCCTTTGTTTTTCTAAGAGCAGCTGAGTCCTCCGCAAAACAATTAGACAAGAGCCTCCTCTGCCTTCCCAGGCCAAGTGGCTCATTACAGCACATTTCTGCTGCACTAGAGTCAGCTGGATCCATGCCAGGACTCAATCACCGAGTGGCTCCCTGAGCCCATCTCCAGCTCTGATGCTCTGTGGTAGGTTTGGCTCCTTTGTGATGATTTTTTTTGGCAGCTCAGGTCAAAGGATTTGTTATTCTCCCCTAAAGATAATGGTTTCAAGTTCCTTGCTGAGGCCCAGACCCAGCACTGGGGAACAGGCTGGGAATGCAGGAGCTCAGTGCAGCTCAGCACCACCCACAGCCTGTGGCATGGGACTGGGAGCAGTGGGCACACACTGGGTGGGAGCAGTGGGCACACACTGAGTGGGAGCAGTGGGCACACCTGGATTGAGAGCAGTGGGCACACCTGGATTGAGAGCAGTGGTCATACACTGGACTGGCAGCAGTGGGCACAGCCTGGACTGGGCAGCTCACAGTTGGGACAGTCAGAGCTTCTGGGTGTGTCTAAGCACACTTGCTTAGACATCCGCAAAGCACAGGGACAGGAGCCCTGAGCTCAGGACCTCTCCCTGGGGACTTGTTTCCATGGGCAGACATGGGAGAACCTTCTTCCCCACCCTGGCCGTGTATTCCCTTCTGGAAGCAATGCCTTTGGCCTGATTCTGTGGCTCCTGGAGGCCTGCCCTGCTCTCTGGGTGCCAACATCCCATGGTAGAGCTTTCCTTGGCAATCGAGCTGTGTGCACAGGGGTCAGGGGAAGGGCAGATGCAGTGTGATGGGATCTTAGTCCCAATATGATATGGACTCAGATGGCAAAAGCCAGTGAGGGGGGTGAGGGTAACATTTCCCACCCTCCTTATCTGAGGCTGCACAAGAAACAGGACTTCCTGCTGCAGGGCAGTAAGGACTCAGCTTGCCAACTGCTCTCTGCTCAGGGAAAGCCTCTCCACAACTCCTTGCTCAGTCCTCTCCAGCCAAAGCAAGTTTCCAGCCTGGAAACTCCCACATAGGATTGCTACTGGCCACGCTGGCCACCCTCCACAGGGAGCAGCAGCAGCCTCTCCCTCTCCCTCTCTCACATCTGCATCCAGCTGTGTCACACCCCAGGCAGAGTGGCCAAGAAGTAGCCTGTAGCTGTGCCAAGTGGATGCAGGAGCATGGCAGGGATCAGCCCCATGAGAACACTGGTAATTCCTGACTGGAATAGGTGTACTGAGATCAGTTCTGGAGTTGTGCATGTTTCCAGACCTCAGCTCTGCCTGGTGCCCATATGGAAAAGACCCCATCTGTGCTCCCTGCTGCCATGGGATGGTGAGACTGGGACCAGGGGACTGGGACCACCTGAGAAAACGTGAAACCTCAGTGAGACCTGCTGCAAGGGCAGCTCTGAAGATGCACTTCTGCTGCTTTGTGGCAGATGAAACGTGTTGAGGACCCACCAGTGGGCCCAGGCAATGAGAATTCCAGACTGGTTTGGGTTGGAAGGGACCTAAAGCTCATCTTGTTCCACCCTCTGCTCTGGGCAGAGACACCTTCCACTAGAATCATAGAATCATCAAGGTTGGAAGAGACCTCTGAGACCATCAAGTCCAACCATTAAGCTGTCACTGCTGGAACCCCTAAACCCTAACCCATATCCTCCAGCACCAGGTCCAGACACCTCTGAAACAGCTCCAGGGATGGTGACTCCACCACCTCCCTGGGAAACCTATCCTATTGCATGAACACCCTAACAGGGAAAAAACATTTTTCCAGGTTGCTCCAAGCTCCATCACAAGAGACTCACTAGTTCTGGCATGTTATATTCTTCAAAGGTAGGGATGGAAATCTGGTAACACACAGGCTGAGGACAGTGCACATCTTTTCATTCAAAGCTCCTGCAGCCTCTCTGGATGTGGCTGCCCCAGGTTTGAGGAGCTGCACTGCAACACTACTGGCCCTGGTATCCCCCAAGGGTGTCTGGGGCCCTGCAGCAGGAACCCAGCACTGCTTGTAGGATCCCACAGAGCAGGCACAGGAAGGGAGCTCAGCTCTGAGTAACCCACAGGCAGATCCTGTTCTGCTTCCCCTTCCTGGAGGTTACACTTGGGTCCTGACATACAACAGGGACACCCTCAGCAGTAGTGGATTTGCAGCCAGGCTGGGGGTGATGCTTCAGCACTTCTCAGGAGGCTTTCTATCAATAGAAGGGCCATGAAAGGACATCTTCTTCCCATCATCTCCTGGGACCCAGGGGGAGATCCCGTGCCAGTTCCCAAGGCTCAACCACCTTTTTAGTGTGGCAAAGGCACTTAGAAGGCTAAAGCTAACATCACCTCCAAGCATTGCATGGGATGTGCCACCTCCTGCCACTACTGTTGGGAGAGTCCCCGTCTCATGCTCCAATCCTGAAGATAGACTAGAGAATTAAGACAATCTGGAGACAGCCTAGAGGACTCAGCCTGGCCTTTCCCTGGGGTGGGGACAGCCAAAGCCTCTGTGCGGGTGCTGGCTGAGGTCAGCCCCTCGTGTCCTGGGCTGCTCTGTGCTCCTCCAGCACAACTAACTTCCCAGTCCGAGGGGAAAAGGAAAGCCTGGACACGGCTCCCACCGCAGGGCCATCCACAGAGGAATCCCAAGGAGCACTTCCCAGCCCATAAACAGGACGTGCTGAGCTCCCTGCAGGCAAAGCCAGGGAGGGGGGTGAGGGAAGGGCTGGTACTCACTGCACAAGAAGCAGGACTTATGGAAGCTGTTGCCTTCACATTGCACCTCCTCAGCGAAGTACACTGCCTTCTGGCACACCCCACACTTCTTTCCTCCTCCCCAGTTTGGCATCCTGCAGAGGAAGCACAGGCAGGAGTAGGGTCAGGGTGGGAGGTCAGGCAGGGCAGTGCTGCCAGGAGCAGGGATGGAGCAGCTGGAGTGAGCACCCCCAGCAGTGCTCCAGAGGCTGTTGTACATCCACGTGTGCAGAGCCCACCCAGGGATGTTTGCTGCTGGCACAGATCACAGGGCTGGTAATTAGCACACTGAGCAGAATGGAGGATGGCCATGGACTCATTCCTGCAGCTCCCAGCAGTACCAGCTGCCTCCCAGGGCCCACTGGTCCTGCCAGTCAGGAGCAGCAGCAATCCCCCTGTGCTGGAGCTGTGGGACCTCCCAGCTCCTGTCAGTGCCAGGCAAAGGGGGAAGCAGGACAATGATGGGAGACAGCACCAACAGAGGTACCCATGGCCCCAGCACCTCCTTGGTGCCCAGCCCTGCTGCTGCCCTTGGCCATGGCCAGGGTGACTGAGCCTTCGTGCTGGATCACCCCAGCTGGCACCTCTGCTGGAAACACTTCCAGCTTTTCCTCCCTGACCAGCTCCTCCATCTCTCCCATGGCAGGACAGGGGCACAGTCAGGGTTGCCCAGAGGGCAGGACCTGACCCCTGATACCACCAAACAGTGGCTCTGGCACTGTGTCCCTGCAGCACCATGAGCTCATGCCTTGCCTGGCCAACCACTGCCAGGTCCCCCCTGTACTCAGGCATCTCAGCCTCCTCCAGGACTGCAGGCTCAGCCACAGAGGCTGGGAAATCAGAAATCAGGGACACAGTGATGGCAAAGACCTGAACACCAGCCTAAGCTCCCATCCAGCTCCTTGGCAGGATGCACATGCTTCTATTTCTCTCCTCTTTCCTGAACTGTGTCTGATGTGATATGACCAAGAGGCTTCTTGATCTGCAAATTTGCAGATCACCCCAACATAGTGTGAGCAGCTAAAACAAGAAGCATATCTCCAACCCAGAGGGGCCTTGATCCTTGTGAAGACCAGACCAACATAAACCTTAAGACATTCAAACAACAAAGTCCTACAAGGAGATTCTGAGGGAGCCAGGCTGGTTGAGTGTGGCCAAGAGAAAGCTAAGGAGGATCTAACAGCAACCTGGAGTTGCTATGAAACAATAAAAGAGGGTTTTTTTTGGGCCCAATGACACAAGAAAGGCCAATAGGCACAAGTGCAGCTTGGGAGGTCTCCAGGGGCCTCTCTCCATGTAATTCCACCTCATGGGACTCCCACTCCCATGTGGGGACAAGCAGCAGAAGTCACCCTCCCATAGCCATGTGCTCCCTGACTCCTGAACAGCTGAAGCAGCAGGACAAGGTCCCCAAACCAAGCACCTTTTTCACAGCACAGTGTGTCACTCACCACGTACTCAGAGTGTCATTGCCTTCCTTGGCTTGGCTGTGTGGCGATGAGGAAGGGACCTGGGTCTGCTGGGGCACACCAGGAGCCTTGGAGCAGACACAAACCCCAGGGTCACCTTGGGCAGCTGAAGTCCCATCCACGGGTCTCCAGTCACCCACCCAGAGGCTGAGCCAGCAGCTCTCCCAGCTGAGGAGTGACTGCTAAACACAACAGGACTGGGGGCTGAATTGACGTCAAGTGGAGAGCTGGGGGAGCACAGAGCTCCACAGACCCTCTGCTCCCAGGCACAGCAAGATCTTTGTACCTCCCAGTTTATGGGAACATCAAGATTTTCATAGAATCTCCTTAACTGGAAGGGACCCACAAGGATCATCAGTCCAACTCCTGCTCAGGACACCCCAACAATCCACCCTGTGCCTGAGAGTGTTGTCCAAACATCCCTTGAGCTCTGTCAGGCTTGGGGCCATGACCACTGCCCTGGGGAGCTGTTCCAGTGCCCCAACACCCTCTGGGGTAACAACCTTTGACTAGTATCTAATCTAACCCCACCCTGACACAGCTCCAGCCTTTCCCTCAGATCCTCTTCCCTGTGTAAGAGTTCTTTGCCAGGCAACAGCGAAGGGAAATGGATGTCATCCTGGTTGTCAGAGCAGGCAGGGCAGGCAGGGTCAGGGC